CGAATACATATGCCTAACCGAGCAGGTGCGCAGGTCATGACTCTAGGGGGAGAGAGTGCCCCATACCAGACAAATTTAAACCTCTTCATTGGTTTCGCTACACCCTATGATTATAAGCTACACTGAGCTACAGGACTCCACGAGTGGTTAGACCTGGGTTCGATTCCCAGCAGGGTGAAATGTTGAGCAAGTTTCCTTACTTTACTCCACATGCCTCTGTTTACCTAGCAGCAAGTAGGAACCCGGTTGTTATTCAATTGGTGGATTGGTTTCCAGGGGTAATAATTCCTTCAAAAAATAAAATAAATAATAAATAATAACTTCAATCCACTATTGTTTGTGGGACGCTGCTGTGCCCAATTGGCTGCCGCGTTTCGCCCACAAAATATACAGTCAATTCACTTCACAGTATATTCTGTGAAGAGCTTTGAGACGTCTTGATGACGTGATAAGGCGCTATATCAAATGCAAGGATTATTATTGGAACTTCCTTCACCTTTACTAACCCAGCCATTTCCTTCGCGCATCGACACTGGCCTACTTCACCTCCCGTGCTCTATCTAAGAATTTAGCCACTTGGGCTCAGGCTCTGGAACTCCATTCCCAAGTCCCTCCAACTTGTCCCCTTTTATTATGGCTTGCTTCAAAATGTAGTTGTATGCTGCAGCTTCTACTTATCTTTCCCCTCTGTACCCCTCCCCCCCACTCAGTTCTGGTGCTCAGCCAGAATTGTTAAGTGTTTTGGGACATCCTCCTGTAGTGAAAGCTCTATATAAGTATAAATGTTATTATATGATAAATAGAAACTGTGGAAATTCTTAGTAGTTTACTTTAGAGACTCTTAAACATTATGCTGTGTTCCTGCACTTACCAGGCACATCGATACCCCAAAGAAAGCTGGTTAGTTTTTAATGCTAATAAAGAGCAGGTTGTGCAATTGAATTTTTAATAACATTAAAACGTCCCTAAATCACTATTAAGTGGTGGGTGGATGATTTGCACTGGAGGCATGAATTATATCCTATTGAGAGCAGCTCCTCGGGATATAAATTCAAATCACAGAAGGGCGTGAAGGGCGCTATATAAATGCAAGTTGTTGTTGTAGTCTCAGCAACCAGGCCTGAACACTATCTGCTCACCTCAAACCTGATTTATACAAGGGTTTTTGGTTCAGTTGGATTATTTCGCTGAATCTAGATAAACAAGAACAGTTTGCATTTATTTAGTGTCCCTCATGCAGGATAGAGTCTTGGAGCATTGCACATTGGCGGGATGGTAAATCAGGACAGGGAGGAAGGGAGGTGACGATGGGCTTGGTTAAAGATCTAGGTCTTTAAGGAGGGATTCAAATATAAAAAGGGGTTGAGGCAGAGGGATTGAAGCAGGGAGTTCCAGAGATTAGGATCGTAGTGGCTGAAATTAAAAAAATTTAAAGTTTAATTTGGAGAAACTCGATAGCATTGATTTCTTCAAAAAGATCTAGAATTTGGATGTACGTGTTGGCTGCAAACTTTAGATCCCAAAAATACCATTGTATTGAATACTATCCAGCTTGAGCAACTTCCTACCCAAACTGCCCCACCCACCACCATATACAGGAAATTAGTTCAAATGAACTATAGTATTTCCATTCTATGTGATAGGAACGGATAAGTAATGTACATCTGAATGCGTTCACCTTTGTTTATTGGCATTCAACATAGATGGCCGTTCCTCTTGGTCGCCAACAATGCCTCCTGGGTATGGTTGTGTTGGCAGTTTATTATTTGGTAACAATATTGTACTCTTAACGTCCAAGAGCCTGTAGAAATCTGAACCATTCCAGGCACAGGAAGGAGCCAATGTTTATTTCCTCCTGCTGTGCTTCCTGTATCCTCTCCTGGGTACCCTGTGATTGATTACTTTGCTGCCCGTGGAAGCAGAACCAGGTCCCCAAATTTTTCAGATGGTCTGGTTACAGCTGGAGCATGACGCTGGGACTTTTCATTGGGATCATCTCGAGCAGTATTATAAGCACCACGTGGGTGGTCCTTTTCAAGCTCAGCCTGGACTAGGGCAACCTTGTGCTTTCTTCTGTGTTTCTATCTCAGAGAAGTTCAACGTATGGCAAACTCATATACTGTGTTGCCATAGGTCAATAAATGAGTTACGCCTTAGCCCTGGGACCCATTTGTAGGTAGATGAATGCAAAATAAGGGAACAAGAGATGGCTGGTGCAACACTATTTTTCCCCACTGTTTGCAAGGTGTCAGGATCAAGCATTCCAAGTCTTTGCTGTTTTGCTCCCAGAGGCAGAAAAAAGCCCCTGTCTTGCCCCAAGAACATACTAAACTCTATCATCAAAAGCAAATCCCCTGCATCCAAACTCTAAAATTTTAGTGGTTGCTGCTTTTCATTGTTGTTGGCATCAGTATTTTCAGGCTGTGTGGGTAGACCCTGCTTTGGTGTAAAGGAGAGAGTACGCATTGCATTTCAGACCCATCAAAGTGTAGGTGCTAGGCATATTTCTGTCTGGTTTCGATACTCTTAATCATGGTGATAGGTTTCCACAAGTGTCCGACCAAAAATAAACTCAATGCCCTAAAAGGCTGAGTTCTGAGCTAGGCAAGTGCTATTGTATGCTATTGCATGGCTGTGATTTTTTCCTCAATATTTGCTATTGTATTGTATCTTGTATGGCATTGCTTAGACTTTGAATCGGGGAGATATTTCACAACAAAGCTATCAGGGACATAATGCATATGCTGAAATCTGATTTAAATCTGTTGCAGGTGGCTTACTACTTCATTTAAAGAATAGGATGTAACTTGTGGGATTCTAATTGGAATTTCTTAACAAGGAATTTGAATCACTTGAATGGATCTTGCTGTATTGCCCGGCTCCGGCACTGTCTCACATCGCAGGTCGTCGGAACCCTCAAACACGCATTCATAAAATCCAGGCTTGCCTATGCAAACAACTTGCTTGTCGACCTCCTCAACTCTTCCATAGGCTGCAGTTCATCCAGAACTCTGCAGCCTGTGTCAATTCCTGCACCAGGCTCCGTGACCCTATTACCCCCATCCTCGCCCGACTACTGGCTTCCCATCACACAGAGGATACAATTCAAGATCCTGGTCCTCACCTTCAAACCCCTCCATGGCCTTGCTCCCCCCTAACTTTGCGACCTCCTTAACCCCGTACAATCCTGCCCGCTCTCTCCGTTGAGCGAGCTCCAGCCTGCTTCATGTCCCCTGCCTCGCCCGACCCACCATTGGCGGGCAGGCCTTCTGCCACTGTGCCCCACCCTCTGGAATTCCATCCCGCAGTCTCTTTGCCTCGCCCGCCTCCACCCTTGCCTCCTTCAAGACCCATCTCAGGACCCTCCTCTTCAACCATGCTTTTGATCACCCTGCTTCCCCTCCTGCCCTCCACCCTTCCCAATTCCAACCCCCAGCTCAGGTTTGAAACACTAACTGTCCAGCGCCTTGGGACGTCCTCCCGACATGATACAAATGTAATTTTGTTCTTGTTAGGTAACCAGAAATATCCTCAGGAAATCCACTCCCAACACAATCTACCTCTGGAGCAACATTCCTGCAGGCTAACTGGAATACTAATGGGATTTCTTATTAAGGCATCTTAATAAGAAATCTTGCTTAATTAACCCTAGTATCTTTATTGCTCACCTTGATGGCATGAAAGTTAGCAACAAATCGATGATAATAATAATAATCCTTGTATTTCACATAGCACCTTATCACCTTGTTGAGACGTCTCAAAGCGCTTCACAGAATATTACTGGAAAGTGAATTGACTATTTTGTGTGAGAAATGCATAATATAATAATATAAAATAATAGATGTGTCCACAGAGAAACTAACATTGTGCGTTTGAGCTGAAGCAGCAAAATCAATGCTCTCCTCCTCGCCACCCCCACTGCTGGAAACAAATTTTTGAGAAGAAACAGAGCTCTCTAAATTGACGATGGTCATATTCTAGGCCAATTTATGATGGCTCAAGTTAAAATGTTCAGTCTGGTAGTTGCCAACGTAGTATTTTTATATTTGCCCCAATTCATATTGTATATTAGGCTGAATAATGTGTTGTTGGGAGCGGTAACAAACCTATTGTTCTGTCCTGTGGGATTTCCTATCAGGAAACGCAGAACGCAGTGCTTGATAGTATGAGCGAACAGTGTGTTGTTTACTCCATTCACATGAAGAGTTGAATGGAGAGTATCCTATTGGAAATAGTCGAGGTAGCTTGTTGATTATTATAAACAGATTGATTTAGCAGGAATATGACTGTCTGCATTGCTGCTTGGTTCGCCTACAAAATACAGTCGCTACACTTTACAGTCACCTACACTATCTTGTGAAGTGCTTTGAGATGTCCTCCTAACTGCGCTTTGTAAAAGACAAGGATTGTTGTTGTAAGCTTGATGGGCATGCGTCGATCACTGAGATTGAAGTCCAAAAGCAAGGCTCAAACACTGTTCACTTATTAAATCAGAACAAGCTAAGGGGAAAGTTGACAAGATTTCAACCCTGGGGAGGAAACAAAATCAGCTTGGGGGCGGAATACATTGCTCCCTTTGACGTCCATCTTGAACTAAGCGTCCACTTGGCCGATTAATAGACAATGGCTGCCTAACAATAATGCATACAATGGCTGCTTAATATAAACTCCGTGTTTTCTGATGTTTTGTAATTGAATATGTAATCGCATTTGACTTTGTGAATTTCAAAAACAAAAGAAGAAAAGGCAAATAAAATGGAGTGTTTAATGCCTCTATTCTGCCAGGAGTGTTGAAATCTGACATGGCACCATGGGAGGTATTGTATAAAGTGGTTTACAAAGTTAGTCATTAAGGAGAGCTGTCATTGCAGATTATTTTGAATCAGGGTGAGGAGTTCCAGTTCATTGGGTACCCAGCTGGGTGCAGGCATAGGGTGAGTGGTTATATCCCCCATGCTGATAAATAGCCCTTCAATGTGTTTTTTCCCCTTTTCCCCCAGCTTGAGACACCTGGGAGTCCCTCAGGGCCTGAGCTGCCTATTGATGCTGCAATGGACGATAGAGAGCGAAGGATTTCACATTCATTATACAGTGGAATTGAAGGACTGGATGACTCGCCCACCAGGAACATTGGACTCAATAGATTAATGGGTGAGTCAAGTTGCCATTTATACATTCCCTTGTTTAACATCTGTTGGAAGACTGTTGGTTCATCTTGGCTTCGTAGGCACTAAACTATGTCTGCTTCCTCTTCCTGTTGGGAGTATATTTCTTTTCAGAAGCCATTGCAAATCATTGTAAAGTTAATTCATTCACTTGCAAGACTAGAAAAATAAGCTCTCTGAATCCACAGTGAGAATTCATTTTAGCATCTCATTCAGATCCAGAACTGCGAGGATCCTGGTGACTTTTACCAGTTAATATTGTGATTAATAAAGGTTCAATACTTGCTGTGATTAATAAAGGTTTGCCATGGTGTTTCAAAATGCTCAGATTTGAGGTCAACTCCTGGGGTTTAAAGTCAGAATTTCAAAATAAAATTTCAAAATAATGAAAATTATGATAAAAAAATTATAAAAAATATGATAAAAAGTCCATCAAATTTATTCCACTTACCAGGTTAGTAGACGTCTGCCTACCAGTAAACAGTCACTACACTTTACAGTCATTAATGTGCTTTGAGACATCTCAACGACATGATAAGGTGCAATGTCAAATGCAAATTTTTTATTTTTATACTGTTCATCAAATATTGCTGGTATGAAGTAAATCTGGAGCAATATTCTCAGATACTCCCAAGGCAGCAGGACAAGAGGGTGCAAGTTTAGGATTATGAAGGGCAAGTTTAGGACTGACACCAGGAAGTCTTTCTTCCACCCTCAGTGGAAATAGCTTCTCCCTATTCACCCCATTAAAACTCCTCTTAATTGTAGTCAATTCTCTAGGAGATTATTGTCAGGTTTGCCAGGTATTAAGGATGGGGACCTGCAGGCAGACCGTGTCCAGCAAAAGATATCTCAGTTTCATCAACTGTATTAAGAAGTTGGTTCAGTAATGCAGGAACAGACACAAAGCTGGTTCTCTACTATCTCTTTAGGCAGACAGCATCCGTAACACTAACAAAGCTCAGCCTCCGGGGAAGCTTGACTGCAATTGCCTGTGTGAAGACTAGAGTTTAAAGTCCAACTTTTGGAGTGCTCCTATATGTAGTCAAACATCTCTACACCCCACATCAGTTCTCATTATTCTCTAGGATTTATTCTGGGCGGATATTTCACCATGCAGACAAAGCCAAGTGTATCAGATTGTTCGCATAAAGTCTGAATGCTGTAGTCAAAGGAACACTGTGTATGTGTGTGGGTGGGGGGGAGGAGATCTACAATAATGATGTTTAAAATGCTGCAGAACATGATTCAAAAATATAGAGTCCTGCAGGTAACTGAAGATGACGAGTACCGATCCGCTGGCATTGTGCTGTGATGTGCCTGACAGTGGATTGCTTCAGAGCGAGGTACCATGGGTGATTCGAAAATTGAGAATTCCTTTTCCTTTCTCACTGTTCTTCCTGCTAAAAGATATTGTCCAACTGCACAGTTCAAATCTCCTCCAAAACAGCTTCAAAACCCTCTCCTTTCCTCCCTAACTACCATCCCATCTCCAACCTGCCTTTCTTCTCCAAGGTATTGGAAAGAGTCAATGTTTCCCAGCTTTGCTCTACCTTTTCCCTACACTCCCTTTATGAACCCCCACAAAGACACCAATGATACCATTACCAATGCCAACTGTCTCCTCGCCGGACTTCCCATCCAGAATTCTACAGCCCATGTCCTCTCCCGCATTGGGCTCACCTGGCTTCACAAGCTCCCAATCCCTCAATGGACTGAGTTCAAGATCTTCAGTGGTCGGGCTTCAGTTCTCTGGAACTCCCATTATGGAGCCCCTTCACCTCGCCTCCCTCAAGGTCGATCTGAAGATTTTCCTCTCTGACCGTGCCTTCAGTCATCCTTCTTTTCCCTGCCCCCACCCCTCCTGATTCCAACTCCCAGCTCGGATGCGCAGCATTCCCTGGTTCAGAGCGCTTGGAGCCAATCTACTCCCAGGTCCTTGAGCATGAGTGGAATCCAAAGGAGTCTATTACGTGTTTCTCGTCCACTGAATTATTTTTGTCCCCTCTCCATTGATCTCACGCTTTCCACTTCAGATTTTGTGATAGGATGATTGGGATCGTGACTGTATCATGTGGGATCACAGTCATGATGAGCCAGTGCTCCAGCTGTAGAACCGTAGATATGCACGATATACTTAGAGGTCATTCGGCTCATTATTTTATTCCAGAATCTGCTCCCACAAGAAGCCATCCATTGTAATCCCAATTCCCTGCTCTTTCCTCATACCCTCTAATACAATTCCTTGCAGGTGCTATTCTCCAATTCTATGTTAAATTTTCAATATCATCTCTGCTCTAACAACAAGCCTTGGCCAATCATTCCGTCATTACCCTTACATCCCTCTGGGAGAAAAAAGTTCTTGTAAATGTCTCGCTTTGCTCCCCTAGTCACAATCTTGAGTGCTAATGTTCAGCTCACATTCATGTAGCTCTCTCTCTGTAGCTCCAAGTATTTGCATCTTCACAAGATAATACCTTTCTAAAAGTATCATGGATAGTGGCATTTAAATCCACTATACAATTTGTTTGTTCTTTTATTCTCTGTCTCAAAAACCTAGGAATTAAACTGACAGGATTTTCTCATCTAAAGTGATTTTTTTCCCCATTTCTTTCCACTCCCCCCCCACCCTTGCATTTCTCACAATGAAAGGTTACTTGAGACAGATGCTCAAAAAGTTTCTTTGTTGAATCTAGCAATTATGTTTGCTGCAACATTTTCTATGCATTGAAGTTTTGCGCAAGCTGTATAAAACCGACAGGTGTCTGAATTATTCTAGTGTACTACATTTTAACCACAATCAGACAATTTGCAATACAGCCACGAGTTTAGATTTTCCATATGGGATTATATTGTGGCATTCAAATTAAAATCATAGTCTTAACTCTTTAGATCCAGGTTTCAGTCCAATGTTCTCTCATCCAACTTCAGTGTCATACCCTTTGTTACACTTTGTGCAATATTATTTCCTCAGATCTATATGAGTAATGCTATCTGATTTAGTATGATTGTGGAAAGTATTGGAGGAACCTGGAATGAGATTAGTTTGGATCATTTTGATGAGAACTCTTTCACACTGTAGACAGCAAGGAGATTGTTATCTCTGATGCAAATTGTATAAACACATGCATAATATGTGTTCAGGCGAATCCATGTGAAAGTGCATGTGTACGGAGGGAATTACAAGTGGCTTTAATTATGTAATTAACCAATAATGAGGATTGGTTAATTGCATTTAAGATTACCTGTAATCCCTCTTTGTACACGTGTGTTTATACATGCTTTACACATGGCACATTATATGCCTGTGTTTACACATGCTTTAAAGAACTCACATAATACTGTTGGTCCTATTAATCTCAAGTGTCTGACTTGTGTTCAAATTGAGGTCCATTCACCTTGGATGCTTACAGCCTTTGAGTTAGATTTTGTCAGTTAATGACAAATGTCAGTGTTAATGTCAGTGTTAAGTCAGACACATCAGGGCTGGACTTTCTGTCCGATTTAAGAGGTGCCTGAGGTTAATCGAAATACGATTCTCGCCCTGCAGAGGAGTCCCACAGTATAAATTAAAATACTCTCACAGAATTCAGTGCAATATATTTACCTTTGCTTAGCTGCAAATTACAGCACAGAATTTTGCCACCCAGCAGAGGAGTGGGGTGGGGCTTCCTCCCTCCATTGCCATTCCCATTGGATGGAAAGGGGATCAGTTAGCCGTTGTGCTGAGGTGATTGACAACCTGCAGCAGCTTGTGAATGGATGGGCTTTCCAACATTTGCAAGTGGCTCAGCTGTCAATCAATCGTGATTTCCCTCCCTTGTTCTTCCCAGTTCCTCGACCCTCACTGATTGACAGCCCAACTCCAGTTGCTTGCGAATGGCTGGAGTTCTCTGTCAATCTTAATTGATACATCTGGGAACCCCTCGTGGCTGAATGGAGGCTCTGGACACCACAGAAGGCATGAGTGAGAACATTCAGTGGCGACCAGCCCATTTTGTCCAGAGTAACTGGATTTTCGTCTGAATTAGCAGGTATATTTAAAGCAGATAAGAATCCAGATGAATCGGGGCCAGGTGTATTATTTGATTTTCCCAATGTCTGTGTTTAACTGGCAAAAAAAAAGCTGATTCCACTGTATTTCATTACCAACCATTTTACTATCTGTCTAGTCCATATTTGCCATTTCTTGAGTGAATATCTTGTGAGTATTTTGCATTGTGGAATTTATTTCACTAATCTTCCTTTCCTCTCCAAGGTCCTGGAATGAGTTGTGGCTTCCCAGTTTCGCTCCTTCCTCTCCCGCTACTCACTTCACGAACCCCTCCAATCGGGTTTCTGTGCCACCCACAGCACAGAAACAGCCCTGGTCAAAGGGACAAATGACATTCTGTCCATATGCGACCAGGACTCCCTCTGTCTCCTCGTCCTCTTTCACCTCTCTGCTGCCTTCGACACCGTTGACCACTCTATCCTCATAGAAAAACAATAATAAAATTGGTGATTTTCAATCGAAGACTGTTTGTGGGACATTGCTGTGCGCAATTGGCTGCCGCGTTCGCCCACAAACATACAGTCAATTCACTTTACAGTGTGTTCTGTGAAGCGCTTTGGGACGTCCTCCCGACGTGAAAAGCGCTGTACCAAATGCAAGGATTATTATTATTATTATTATCCACTGCCTCTCCTCTCTCCTCAACCTCTGTCCTTGACTGGTTCACATCGTACCTCTCACACTGTCTCCACTTCATCTCCACAAATGTTTTTTCCTTTAGCTCCCGCACCGTCTTGTGCGGCATTCCTCAGGGCTCTGTCGTCGGTCCCCTCCTCTTCAATATCTATATGCTCTCTCTTGGTGACATCATCCTCAGACATGGGGTCAACTTCCACATGTATGCAGACGACACCCAAATGTACTTCTCTGCCTCCACCCTTGACTCCAGGACCTCTGCTGTCCTGACATCAAGTCCTGGATGAGAGCTAACT